CGGGGGGGGGGGGGTGGGGGGGTTGGGAGGTTCGGGGGGGGGGGCGGTCAGGTGACCGGGAACGGGGGCATTGGATAGGGCGTGGGAGTCCTGAGGGTGATTAGGTACGGGAGGGGGGTCTCTGGAGGAGGCGGTGAGGGGACAAGGGGCAGGGGGGCTTAGATAGGAGGTGGGTCTTGGGAGGGGTGGTTAGGGGCATTGGTCTCTGGAGGGGATAGTCAGGGGACAAGAAGCGGGGGGGTTGGATGGGTCAGGGGTTATGAGAGGTCAGTCAGGGGGCGGGAAGTAGGTGGGGGTTGGATAGGGGGCAAGGCCAGGCATGTTTGCTGACTATTAATAATAGAAATGCTCGAAGCCAAAGCAAGTTCGATGTAACGTGGTTTCACCTATAACGTGGTAAGATTTTTTGGCTCCCGAGGACTGCGTTATATCAGGGTAGAAGTGTATGTGGAACTAATCTCCTTCTGTGCAGGAGGAAATGGTCAAAAATGTCTCCCTTGGATCACCTCAGTTTTTGGGTAGCCAGTCTGGGCCACCTTAGGCCTCGCTTTCTGATCTGCAGCACCTGTTAACTTATTTCAGTCGGAGCTGTGGGTGCTCAACACCCCTGGAAATCAGGCTGAGGATGCATCAAATTTGTGGATGCTTGAAACTTTCGACCTTAACTTCCAAGTATATCACCATTGCTGCTGTCAAGGTTCCTTTCCCACTCTGAACTCTGGGGTACAGATGTGGGGACCTGCATGAAAGACCCCCTAAACTTATATTCCACCAGCTTAGGTTAAAACTTCCCCAAGGCACAAATTCCTTACCTTGTCCTTGTACGGTATTGCTGCCACCACCAAGTGATTTAAACAAACATTCAGGGATGGGGCCACTTGCAGCCCTATCCCCCCCCAAAAATGTTTGCATGGCCTCAAAAAACCAGACACCTCCACCATCTTGTTTCCTTCCAGAGCGCTGATGAAAGAGCCAGTGTTCAATGATGACCTTCCAAGCCGCATCCTCTGTGGCAGCGTGGTGGTGAAGCCCATTGTGAAGGAGTTCACCGAAACCGCTGCCATCTTTGAAGATGGGACTATGGAGGAGAACGTGGATGTTGTCATCTTCGCCACTGGCTACAGCTTCTCGTTCCCCTTCCTGGAGCAGTCAGTCATCAAAGTGGAAAACAACGAGGTCGCGCTGTACAAACATGTCTTCCCCCCTACGCTGGAGAAGCCAACGCTGGCTGTCATTGGCCTCATACAGCCACTTGGGCCCATCATGCCAAATGCAGAGCTGCAGGCTCGCTGGGCTACAAGAGTCTTTAAAGGTAAGTGGACGGGCATGCTGTGATACATGCTTAATAATTGCCAACATGCCAAATGTGTGACCAGATTTAGCCTTAAGTGGGCACAACTGCCAATGAAATCAATACTAGTGCCCTTTGCATCAGGGTTCAATTTGGCTTATCATCCCTGCTGCAAGGTGCTTACATGTTTGATTTAGATAAGAATGATACATGGGAATACAGGACAGGGAGAGAATGGCAAAGGACGCCAATGCAGGTTCTAAATTCAAAAGTTTCACATTTGTTGACTCCCATTCATGGGACTGACTCCTTAACATCCCTCGTTAGCATGCTCAGTCTGCACAGACCACTTCTGTTTGTTTTTTTTTAACGGTTGAGGGTAATTAACTGCTCTAATCTAGCTCAACCACAAGTTATGGGCTGGATACAGGAATAACAGGGTGAAACTCCCTGGCCTGTGTGATGCAGGAGGTCTAACAACATGATCACAATGGTCCCATCAGCTTTAACATGTATTAATCTCTAATGTAGCTTACTGCTGGAGATCTGAAAGCAGGGAACTGCAGTGTCATTATAATTCTGTCTCATTGAGCAGCTCTCTGTATACTTGCAAGAACTTCTCTGTAAAGCGTCATGAGCATTGATAGTGCTACAGAAACAAAAGCTGCTGACAGTGTATTGTAATTTAGGTATTATCCTTTTAAACTAACATTGTAAAGGAAAGGTGGAATTAGAGGAGAAGAAAAAGCTTTTCTTCCCCTTCTGAGAGTTTAATAGTTTAAACCAAACTCCTCACTAAGGAGCTCAACTAGAAAAATGCACTGTCTTGCCACATGATTGATTTCAGCCAGCCATAAGCTAGGATTTGCTACTTATATGTAACAATATGTCCCTGTCTAACAGAAGTGCTCTGTTGTAAGGTTTAATGAGGGTTTGTGAAAGCACTGAGGCCCAGATCTGCCAAGGTATTCCACTGAAGTCAGTGGAAGTTAGGAGCTTAAGTAACTTGGATGATGGGCCTCAGAGACCCAAGGCTGAATTGGAGACTGATGCCACAAGGGCAGATTAAAAGAATTTGTCTTGTCACAGTCCCTATGGCAAAACTAGAGCATCACGATGGAGAATTCAGTCCCCTTTGCTGCAGAGGCCTCGACAAAGCAACACTTTTAAGCATCTGTAGTGGAACCTGCAAACTACTTGATGTAACAGATCAGGGCAGGAAGCTTCCCAAATCCAGCTCTGAACTTCGAAGCTTGGGTCCCTCTGTAATTCTTGTTACTTATTAGCCACTTTAATTTGCTAGGGCTGACTGAGCTGCCCTCCGAGAACACCATGATGACGGACATTGTCAAGAGGAAAGAGAAGAGGATCAAGTGGTATGAAACACCACCTAATTAATATTACTATTCTCCACTCATCATGGGAGCAGTTTATACATATAGAGGAAATTGTATTTCTCCTTCCTCTCATGCTCCTGAGAAAATACAGTGCAAAGTCTTCTAGAAGCTTTGGCTGGCATTCATGTCTTCATGTGTTTAAAATATACTCCATCTGCTCAATGACTAGCTCACTGGCAGATATTCCAAATGCCTTGAGTATTTGGGTTCCCCTCGTTTCTTTTCTGGCTGCCAGACCTGTGTGTGTATTCCCTCCAGACTGAATATTTTAACCACGCTTGCTTTACTTTAACCACAATTCCACTGCCCCCAGGAAAAGGATTAGGGAACCACGTCAACCGCATATATAGTCTCTTGAGTATTCCTAGTAGCCAGTGATGAACATAACCCCAAACTAGCCAAGGATGCCTTCTGCTATTTTGTGGCAATGAAATGCCATTCTCATGCTTGCGCTGAAAGGAAACCAGGACACCTTTCAGACTACTTTCCAGAAGAACTTCGCTGCTACTGTCTTTAGATCCAGCCTCCCTGTGGTGTGTCTGCCATCTGCCTTTTCACTCCTGTGTAAGAGTGGCAGTGGGTTTTATCCTCCTTCAGATTGGTGGGTGTTGGATATTATATTCATCAGCCTTAAACCACATGCCCTTTTGGTCAATTACAAATCCTCATCAGAGAGTCTATACGAATTTCCCCAAGGGTCTTTCACATAGTTTATTTTGTTGATCAGAGAGAGACCTCATTGAGAAGGCAGCTACAGTAGAAGATGGCCAAGCTCACTAGCTTCCTTATCCTGCAAAAATATGAAGCTTATACCACATGCTGGTCCTCTGGAAATGTTAATCTGTGCGTCTAATAGTTGAGGTGCCAAGAGTTAAGGGCTCAGCAAGTTGCAAAAATTGGAGTTGAAAGTTTATCTGTAGTGTCCATTGCTGTCATGTCCAAGCACTGAATGCATAGCAATAATTCTTCACATAAAGTTCTGCTCATCCCAGCCCAAAATATTTCACAGGGTGTCTTTTGAATTGAAAAGGTTTCTGAAATCACCGGTAGTCACCTGTGGGCTGTAATACTGTGGTCTAATTTTGGTTGTTGGGTGGTGGGTGCTGGGTGGTGTTAGTGCCCTGAGATATACAGGAGGTCAGACTAGCAGATTGGTGGTCCCGTCTAGCCTTATATTACATATTATAGAGTTTTGGGGAGTGTAAGAAGATGGTCTGAGTAGAACAGCTCTTTTCCATCTCTGACTACTATGAGGCTGTGATCCTTAGGGTTTGCTTGCAAAAATGTGTACACCACTCCAGCCAGAACAGCACCATTCTTAATGACCTGTTACATGTAGGTGGTTTATATGCACACAGTTCTGAAAATCTGTCCCTGTGGGCCCATAATGGGGACTCAACTGCAGTTGAAAGGGATTAACATTGTCTAAGGTATGAGAAATGCACTAGGTAGGATGATATTATTTGTAATGCAAACATGCTGGGTTCTTCACAAATAGTACGTAACCTGCTGATGCCAATGTTTGGTAAATGTGCCTTGTTCTCTGCAAATTTGGGTCTACAGTTTTTTGGCATGGAGGCAACTATAATTCAGCTAGTTTTAGGGTATGTCTGGATTGCAATGTGGAGATGGGATTGCAGCACATGTAGACATACCAGAGGTAGCTCTGATCTTGGTTAATAATAGCAATGTAATCCTGGCAGTTTGAATATGTACCCAGGGTCATGGGCGGGGGGGCTGCCCCGAGCAGCTGCCCATGCTGCCACAGCTTCACTCGAGCTAGCTTTGCTCTAACTGGATGCTACATCAGAGAGCTGCAGCTATCCACAAGTCTATCTGGAGTGCTTCTTGTGGCTCTGAATCCCATTATTTTTCAATCTTCCCATATCTTGTCGGCTTCCCTGTCTTTCTCCTTTCTCTCTTTTTAGCAATAGGTTAGCGTGGTATTTGCCAGTTCTCTACATGACATCCCTTTAGCACTGTATGAATCGGGAGCATCAGATTCAATGTACATGGATCACTGAACAGTTATGACAGTTGTGGGGCATCTCTTTCTTTGCTCTCTCCTAAGGTTTGGTACCAGCCGCAGCCAGACATTGCAAACCGATCACATTGAATATCTGGATGAGCTCGCCGAGGGCTCAGATGCAAGACCCAGAATCCTTCCGCTGCTTCTGAAGGATCCCAAACTGGCCCTGATGATTTACTTTGGCCCCTGCAGCCCCTTCCAGTTCCGCTTGACCGGCCCTGGGAAGTGGGACGGAGCCAGAAATGCCATCCTGACCCAAAAGGCACGGATCATCAAACCCACAAGAACGCGAGTGGTGCACGACTCTTCAAACAACTACCTGGTTTCATATTTGCTTAAAATCTTTGGTCTCATTGCTCTCTTCGCTGCAATTTTTGTTAGTCTCCAGTAGTCCTGAGCTCTGTCCTATGTCAGGTCTCAGCAATGTGATGTGATGCTCTGCCCTCTATAGCAGTCTTTCTCTTAAAAAATAACAACCTCCTTGCCATATACCAGTCCATGGGTCTGATCCAGAGAGGTGCTGAGCATCTGCAGCTGCTGACTGGCACTAACGAACATTGTGGCTGCTCATCATCACTTTTTAAAATCTGCCCATTTGATTGGAGCTCTCTAGCAAAGCTATGGGTTTAGGTCAGACTAGATGGTTGGGTGGTCCCTTCTGGGCCTAAACTCTGCTCCCGCAGCTCCCATTTCAATTAACATGAGGTTGTGTTACTAAATCCCTTAGGCAGCTTCACTTTGATCTGTTGATTTGGGCTCTGTTTAAATGCCGAGGGCTTGTCTATACACAAAAGTTGTACCCCTTTGACTGTACTGATATCATTTTACCAGTACAACCCTCAGCGTTGACATGACTTTAATGAAATAAGGCACCTTTTATGCCACTATTGCTGCTTCCTATATATGGGAAGGGGAATAATCTATACTGTTATAACTGCCTCCACACTGGGGGTTGTACTGGTATAACTATTTTAGTAAACAGTTGCTCCCTTACCCAACATAGTTATACTGGTACAAAAGCTGGGAGTAGACTAGGCCTTAGTGTGAGAGACTGTTTCTGTTACTCCAAACCTCCCCATTTCATATTTGAAAGCAAGATCTGAAATGACAGTAGGGGCAGAAACACAGACCAGTTTTTGCAAGCCAGCAATTACAGACCAGGCCCTATCAATATCTGTACAGACCAGGGCTTATCAATATCTGTAAAGTGTGCTGTGTCCTTCTCCCTGCAATGCAAGAAAGTGAGGCCTACCTGCTAAAGTTTCTAACTGTACATTTAGTTTGGACCTAGAGTTGGACCTGAAATGGAGCCTCAATCAACCCCAGCCAACTTCAATCAACCCAGTCAAGAAATCTCAGTCCACCCCAGTACTGAAAGAGGCTGGGTGGAGTTTTCAGAAGCACTCAGCTTTGGCCTAACTCTCTTCCCACCGAAGTCAAGGATAAAACTCCCTTCCTGCACAAGCTAACTTCTCAAAGGCCTCACAATCCAGGGCTGACGTCTTGGGAGTTCAGAGACCCAACTGAAGCTCAACTTCCACTTCAACCCCCATTAGCTTTGTCTGTCATAAAACACCTCATTGACCAACATACCGGGCGGCCCTCATCACTGCAGCTCGCCAACACTTAGACAAACCATTCGTGGGACTTACAGGGTAGCAAACCTGCCAAATGCATGGTGGGTGGGATAACTCTTGTAATCTATTCTGGCCTTTCCATGATTCGTGCGCAATGTTGCCAGTTACTTGGCCTGCTGGGTAACTTCCTTCTTGTTTCCTGAGAAAAGATACAACAGCTTGAGTCACTCATCAACTAGCCTGTTAATAAAAGGCCAGATTCTCAGTTGAGATAAACAGTATCTGGCCCAAAGCCATGGCAAAAGCTGTATTTTTGTTAGTATTGCATTACTGATTCTATAGTCAAGACTGAGATGGGAGGTTTTTTTCAGTACAAATTTCTATCTTTGGTTTCTCATAATGAATTGTTTTCAGGCTCAAACTTGGCAAACTCCCAACTCAGTCTGAAAACATATTTTTGGCAAGCTTGAGAAATGTCAGTTTGATCTTTTTGTTTGTTTGTTTTTTGTTAATTACAGGAACATAAAACACAAGTTCATGTGAGTTCAAGATGCATCTTGAGAGACTCTAGTAATTGAAAGCACTTGGTTTTAAGTGTAAAGACAGGGCTGGTGCAACCATTTAGGCAAACTAGGCAGCCGTGGTTGGGGGCGCCTAAAAGCCCGCTCAGGCGAGGAGGTGGAGTGGAGGTGAGCTGGGCCAAGGGGGGGGGGGGCGCGAGGGAGGGCCGCCCGCAGTAACGGGGGGGGGGGGTACACAGGGGACCAGTCCCCGCCCAAGATCACCTCCACTCTGCCTCCTCCGCTGAGCACACAGCCCCCGCTCTAAGTCTCCTCCAATCTGCGCCGCAAGCCTGGGAGGGGAGGAGAATTAGAGTGGCGCTGTGTGCTCAGCGGAGGAGGCGGAGCCAAGGTGAACTGGGGTGGGCTCCCCAGGCGGGGTTAGCTGCCGCAGGGGAGGAGTCTCCCCAGGTGGGGTTAGCTGCCACGGAGGGGGATAGCTGCTGCGGGGGGGG